ACCCACAGGTGGCTGCCTGATGACCGTATTTGGGCACAGGGACATGTGGAAGGAGACAGTCTTTCAGATTGCCATGAGCACGCTCAACAGCAGAGCACCACTTCCCTGCCCTACACAGGCTCATGGTGAAAAGGCAGCCCTCCTTGGAGGCTTTCTTATGTTGGGACTCAAACGGGCTGGTAGGTAGTCCTGGAATGACCCGATAGACACAGTCTTGCGCATAAATCCACAAGCATTATGTACATTTTCCCTAAACATTTCTGCCTGCCTACCACAGACGCACGTTGGCCATTTGTTTCTTAAAAGGAAAGGGAAGGGAAAAACCCCTGGAACAACACAAGCATTCTGCTTGTTTAACATTTCCCTGCCCGGAGGCGGTTTATGCTTGCCTCAGATGACCAGGCGAGGAGTTATGATTCACGTGCTGGTGTCCGCTGTAGGGGGAAAAAAAGATATCAATTGTGCCAACCTATTCAGGCAAGACGCGCATCACTGCCTGCCCGCCCACCCCTTCCTTTGCTAGTTCAAAAGCAAGAGAGGAATTGCTTCCAGATAGGGATTCTGCTCTTATTTGCAGCAGCAACAGAGACTCCGCATGATGATATCCTGTTTTTCCCCCTAATATCAGCCATTTTTTTGTAACAGGTACTTTCTTTACCATTTTTTAAAATAAATCCGTATAGAGTTAGGACACTCACTGGAGAAGACCCTGATGCTGGGAAAGATTGAAGGTCAAAGAAGACGGGGACGGCAAAGGATGAGATGGTTAGACAGTGTCATGGATGCAACGAACATGAAGTTGAGCCAACTTCAGAGGACGGCGGAAGACCGGAAGGCCTGGCGTGATCTGGTCCATGGGTTCGCGAAGAGTCGGATTCAACTGTGCGACTAAACAACAACAAAAAGCTATGTACCTGCGGCCAGTTGAAAAAGACAATGGGCAAAGCCCACTGGTTTAAGGAGCTATTGGGAGGGGCATGGGGAAATGGGGAGGAAATCTGCCCGTTCCCATCCACGCAGATCCCAAACTAACTTTGAGTACAGTCTTTCTGGAAAGATTGTACCAGAGCAGGGGTTTGTTTTTCTTTTTTTTGGGGGGGGGGCGGGACAGCAAAGCTGAGGAAGACCTGGAGGGTAGATGACGGCACAATGATGTTTCGCAAAATCCGCCTTAAAACGTGCTGAATATTGGGATGGAACATTGAGCAAAAGCTCAGTGAGGAAACAACCAGAGTGGAGAAGTTAGTAAACTGTGCCAGCAATGTGAGTCCAATGGTGAATTTCCCCCAGACTTAAAAAGTTCCAAAAAGAGTGCAGCTTCACATCACATACCTTTATTGGCATAAAAAGCAGCAATAGTTACATACGATTATCAGTGCGTATATGAATAGTCTGATAAATATTATAAATAGAGCATAAAACAGCATTTAAAAATCATAATCAATAATAGTGTATCAAATATAAAATATCAAAGAGGAGCAGGCATCTTTTAGTTGGTTAAAATCTACAGGTGTGTTTCAATTTTGCTTTTATAAGCTTCTGCTTAAAAACTTTGCAATGCATGGTGGTTTTAGGTTTTGCACCTTCTAAAAGCTGACTTAGCATTTTCTCATCTGTAAGATTGTTATTTGGAAAGTAATTAGATAAAAATAGACTGCGCTGGGACACCGATAATGGGCACTTCAAAATAATATGGGATAAGGAATCAGGAGTTCCCCGTTCACGTGGGCACAGCCTTTTTGGAAAGGGTATTTGCCTAAATCTGCCATAGAGAACTTTCGATGGAAAGCCATGCAGGTGGGCCAGAGTAAAGGCATGACGTTGGAGTGGAGAATCTAAGATGGTAAAGTAGTGAAGCATCGCTCCATGTTTTTGGTACTAGATACCTAGACTGGCTGCTGAGCAAACAGGAGGATGCAGGGGGAACATTTTTTGAAATTCATGATCCATAAGTCTTTGTTGAACTGTTCTTATAATATGTAGTTCATCACATAAAAGAAGAGAATCTATCGCAATACCTAATTTCTGGAACTTACTGATAAAGGTGGAAAACCAAATGGTACCATGCCGATCTTTCATTAGGAAAGATAGTAGACTTCCAGGTTCTGATCTGAGCCATTAGCAGAGAAGGACCAGAACAAAGTTTGAGTCCAGGGGCACCTTTAAGATCAACAAAGTTTTATTCAAGGTATAAGCTTCCATGTGCAAGCACACTTCTTCAGATACAGCTAAATACAATTTCCTCAACCATAACATATAGGAAAGGGCGGGGTTTAGTGGCCAGGAAGGGCCAATTAGGGTCAAGACAGAGACACAAACAAAATGGAAATCACGAGTCTAAACATATAGGTCGAGAGCGAGCAGTAAATTATCATACAGCAGAATGAAGCTGTTTAACAGATTCAAGGATCAAACAGGAATAATAGGCTTAGTTTATATGGTTACCATTTGTTTGGGTTCGATTCTGGGGGGGAACAGTGAAGGAAATAAATATGTCAAAATTGGAGACTGATGTTATCCTTAATTGTGGAATGCTGAGAGTAATTAATTGGGACCCCACCATCCATCTCCTCTCAAGCAGGGAGACGACTTTACAGCATCTTCTTCTTTGAAGTGGGACGGTTGGGTGTGCAGAACCAGTTGGCTGGGCCCGTCACACTTTTCTAGGCCGTTACAAAGCTGCTTCTTTCCATCCGGGGGGAGCAGAGGCGCTGTACACATGCTCTTGTCTTTGGCTGGAGCAGGCGCCTCTCCTTTGTAGATGATGCTGTTCTCCTCTGTTTCATACAGCTTTATTTTGTAAAGGGCCCCGGCGGGCAAGTGCCTCTGGAGGTTTTCCCAGATGAACAGGGCAAGGTTCTCTGTTGTGCTGTAGAGTAGGAGAAGGACAGAGACAAATTAGGCAGAAGAGAACGTTAGGCTAGTTCGAGCCTTTTGTGCACAAGGAGGTTAGGAGTTTGCTAAGGGGCCATTGCAAGAGCTGCGGTGGCTCAAGTGGTTAAGACGCTGAACTGCAGGCTGTGGAAGGTCAGTAGTTCAGCAGTTCGAGACCCGAGTGTGCCGCATGGCAGAGTGAGCTCCCATCTCTAGTTCCAGCTCCTGCCAACCTAGCAGTTCGAAAGCAAGAAATTGCAAGTAGATAAATAGGTACCGCTTCGGTGGGAAGGGAACAGCGTTCCGTGCACCTTGGTGTTTAGTCATGCCGGCCACATGACCACGGAAACGTCTTCGGACAGCGCTGGCTCTTCGGCTTTGAAACGGAGATGAGCACTGCAACCCTCGAGTCGGATTCGACTGGCTTTCGAGCAAGGGAACCTTTACCTTTAAGGGGCCATAGCTTACTGGGAGAGCCCTCGCTTTGCATGCAGAAGGTCCCTGGTTCAGTCTTGGCCATTTACGGTCAAAAGATACCAGGTAAGATACGTTGGGGAACACCTTTTCTCTGCTTGAGGCCAAAGTAGACAACAGTGAGCTAGAGGGATCAATGATTTAACTCGCTATAAGGTGGCTTCATGGTATACTGATTGTAATGCAGGACACGAGCCATGTTCCCCCTAATTTCCCCTCTCCCACATCCTGAGCAGTCTAAACTGCTGTAACCTTAAAATATGCAACGGGCCGCGCAAGACCCTGCGTGGCTCCAGACTGCTGCTGAGCGGGGCTTCCTCTGCTAATGGGCGGCTGCTCACGCGCACAGATCAGAGGTGACACCGGACATGAGAACTTGATAGGATTTGACCTGGGTTCTGGGTAGCCCCGCAATCACCCTGCCTTCCAGACGGCTATTTTGGGGCAGGAACGCACAGGAACGGAGTTCCGGCTGGCTCCCGAGTTGGCCACGCCCAGCAGGAACTCATTAGCATAACAGGACACACTCAACAGCAGAAACTCATTAGGATTGGCTACATTAGGGGTGTGTGGCCTAACATGCAACGGAGTTCCTGCTACAAAAAAAAAGCCCTGGGTTTTGACAACAAACAAGGTAAACAGAATAAGAAGCAAAAGGTTACTTCTGGTAACATGGGGTGTGGCCTAATATGCTAATGAGCTGTGCTGTCAGGGTGTGGCCTAATATGCTAATTAGTTCCTGCTGGGCTTTGTCTACAAAAAAACCCCTGCTTCCAGATAAGTACAAAGCTAGGTTAAGTCCATGCAAACAAGGCCCTCTTGGTTGAATTTCTGTCAGCCAAGAATCCTGGCTACTTACCTTACTACGTTGGCAAAATAGGGGATGTCTTTATCTAAGTCTTTTCTGTCAAGGGGCTCTGTGATCGCCTCCTGGGTAGGGGCAGAGAAGTACTGTCAGTGGGTCACGATGCTGAGGTTGCAAAGGGAAGAGCAAAGATGACTAGGATATGACAAATTCATGAACTTTCCCCAAGAGCTTTATATGTTTGTGCTCAAAGACACTGGAATTCTGCACGGTCAAGCCAAATCTTGGCCAGGAAAAGTGATTTTTTTTTGTTCATCCTAGATAATGAGAATGTGTGAAATGCTCCTCTTTTTGTAAACTGCTTCTTTAATCCACGTTAAGGGTACAGAGACATGCAGAACCATGGTCTTGAGCCATGGCTGGTTGATGCTATTGATTTGACTGATTTAAAACGTTTACTAGCCACCGTTCTACTAGCGGAACTCGAGGCGGCTTACCACGTAAATAAAACAACAATTTAAACACACACACACCAGACTATAGCGCACCTTGGTGGGGCTTCCTCGCACTCCCGCCGGCCTTGCAGGTCCACTGCCGGGCCTTATGATGTCAGGGGGTGTGGCATATGCTAATGAGTTATGCTAATGAGTTCCCCTAGCTCTTTTTCTACGAAACGACCCCTGCTATAAAATGGCTTCATGGTATACTGATTTTAATGCAGGACACGAGCCATGTTCCCTCTAATTTCCCCTCTCCCACATCCTGAGCAGACTAAACTGCTGTAACCTTAAAATGGGCAACGGGCTGTACAAGACCCTGCGTGGCTCCAGACTGCTGCTGAGCGGAGCTTCCTCTGTTCATGGGCGGCTGCTCACGCGCAGGGATCAGAGGTAACACTGGACATGAGAACTTGCCAGGATTTGACCTGGGTTCTGGGTAGCCCCGCAATCACCCTGCCTTCCAGATAAGTACAGAGCTAGGTTAAGTCCATGCAAACGAGGCCCCCGCGGTTGAATTTCTGTCAGCCAAGAATCCCGGCTACTTACCTTACTATGTTGGCAAAATAGGGGATGTCTTTATCTAAGTCTTTTCTGTCAAGGGGCTCTGTAATCGCCTCCTGGGTAGGGGCAGAGAAGTACTGTCAGTGGGTCACGATGCTGAGGTTCCAAAGGGAAGAGCAAAGACGACTAGGATATGACAAATCCATCCACTTTCCCCAAGAGCTTTATATGTTTGCGCTCAAAGACACTGGAATTCTGCATGGTCCAGCCAAATCTTGGCCAGGAAATGTGATTTTTTTGGTTCATCCTGGATAATGAGAATGTGTGAAATGCTCCTCTTTTTGTAAACTGCTTCTTTAATCCACGTTAAGGGTACAGAGACATGCAGAACCATGGTCTTGAGCCATGGCTGGTTGATGCTATTGATTTGACTGATTTAAAACGTTTACTAGCCACCGTTCTACTAGCGGAACTCGAGGCGGCTTACCACGTAAATAAAACAACAATTTAAACACACACACACCAGACTATAGCGCACAATCGCAATTTGGACTGCCAATAAATAAAAACTAAACTAGCCAAATGCAGTCCTAACTAACTTTCCTCAAGAGCCTTCTGAAGATCGAAAGTGATGGGCACTGGGCAATGTTCCCTCTAAGGTGTGCAGTCTCGTGAGCAGAAATTTTACCCTGTGAGCCAAAAGTGGTCCTAGCGTTAAAACTGTGAGTGGGCCAACATTTTTTTTTAAATTAAGTGTACAAACAACATATAAACTAGTATCATTTGTATTACAAGCCATATATTTATATTAAACTTATTTATATTTATATGGACCATATTTGTATTACTTAACCTCCTAGGCTTAAGGGCACAGAGAGTCACTTTGCAAAGCACCAGAAGCCACCAGATCGCCTCTAGCACGCTGCTGAGGCCGGCTCCCCCCCCCCTCCTTCAACTAACCTCCCAGGCTTAAGGGCACAGAGAGTCACTTGGCAAAGCACCAGAAGCCACCAGATCGCCTCTAGCACGCTGCTGAGGCCGGCTCCCCCCCCCTCCTTCAACTAACCTCCCAGGCTTAAGGGCACAGAGAGTCACTTTGCAAAGCACCAGAAGCCACCAGATCGCCTCTAGCACGCTGCTGAGGCCGGCTCCCCACCACCACCTCTTTCAACTAACCTCCCAGGCTTAAGAGCACAGAGAGTCACTTGGCAAAGCACCAGAAGCCACCAGATTGCCTCCAGCACGCTGCTGAGGCCGCCCCCCCCCTCAACTAACCTCCCAGGCTTAAGAGCATAGAGAGTCACTTTGCAAAGCATCAGAAGCAACCAGATCGCCTCTAGCATTCTGCTGAGGCCAGCTCTCCAATCCAAGACAAAACAAACAACCAGGCAACTCACTTCAGGAAGGACAGAAGCTGGGCAGCCGAGCAGTCCTCCTCCTGGGCCAGGGTATCCCCAGGATCATGAGGCAGAGGACTGCCCGGGAGGGTAGCAGCGCCCCATTTCACAGGGCAAGCAAACCCCAGCTGAGGGGAGGTGGGGCCAGCCCAGATTAGGAAACACAAAGCATACTGCTGTGTTTCTGTCCTGCCTGAGCAAATGGATCCGTGTTGCATGGCCATTGGGAAGGGAACCTCCTGCCCCTATGCTGTGGTAAAAATTGCTGTGCTGGCCAGGGGAAATCGGTGCACCAGTGCAGCCTGGCGCAGCTTAAAGGGAACCTAGGCCCTGGGGACGTTGTTCCATCAATGTGGGGCTGCAACTGAAAAGGCCCTGCCTCGTGTGTCCTTTTCTGTGGATCTGGGGATTTCAACAACCATTTCTAGTCTGTCTTTACTAGATGCGGCCCCTGCTGCCTGGTGTGATACAGAATGCACATAGCTAAGGCACTCGTGCTTTTGAACCATGTCTTTAGAAGGATCTTTTCAGGTGCCAATGCTTCCTCGTCACTTTATAATATGATACAATGTCCATCATAATTTTTATTTAATTACAGGCATTTCCTCTGCCCCTGCTTTGCAGGGGGTGGGTGGAAAAATCACTGTGCTTTTTCAACCTGAAATTTCTGCAATAATAAAGCTTTTTTACTTTGCTTTGCAAGCTTATCAGGTCCTTAACAGCAACCATGCAAACTCAAAATTGATCCTGAAATTGGCGAGACTTGTGTCTATTCAGCCACCAGCTGTCTTATTGAGCCCGCTTGTGGGGAGGGCGGGGTAAAAATTCAAAAAATAAATAATAAATAAATGCTGGGCAGGGCAGTGAAGATGCTCAAGCAGAGCTGGGCGAGGGAACCATCTCTCCAGTGTGTTTCCATTTTCACATCACCCACCTGCCTGTGCACCACCTCTGCAGAACGAATGCCCTTACCTTCATGTATGCTTTCAAATCTGCCAGGTCTACCACCATCCCTGACGTGGGATTGATCTAGAAAGAAGACGAATGGCCATGTCAGCAATCTATTTTTGGGTAACAGGAACTGCATCTGAGGATCTGAGGCTGCTGCTGAAGATATTCATTTAGTAGAAGGGAGGAATGGCTAGAGGCTGGCAAGCACCGCAACCATGTCGAGTGGGAGGGGCCCAGAGGCTCTGTGTGCCACACTATTGGACCGAGTAGGCAAGAGGCATATTGATACGGCTTCAGTGGTTGGTTCAAAGGCCTTCCTTGTGGACTTCTGACTTGATATAAGCAGGGGTCATTTCCTGCAGGAGCGCACGGGAGCGGAGCTCCGGCAGTAAAGAGCCCAGGGGGCGGGCACATGCAACAAGCCCCACCCCCTACTCCCAGTAGCCTCGGGCCACAAGGAGCAAGAAGCAGCCAGGTGAGCTGCAGAGCACCCCACCCCCAGGTCCAAAACAGTCCAGTGGCACCTTTAAGACCAGGTTTTATTCAGGTACAAGCTCTCCCTCCTCTACAAGGACGGATCTGCATAATTCCCCCACCCCCAATAGCTAGCAATCCAAAACAGACCAGTGGAGCCTGAGTGGTGGGTGTTGCCTTCTGACACACTTCCGGTGATGTCAGGGGGTGTGGCATATGCTAATGAGGTATGCTAATGAGCTCCTGCACCTCTTTTTCTACGAAATGACCCCTGGATAAAAGGTCTTAAGAGAGAGGGCAGGAAGGGATGAGCCAATGCTCAGCTCTTGTGGCCTTCTGTTATATGCCCAGGATAATAATGATTGTTCCCCCCCAACCCCAGCTCACAATTTTTATGTTCAGTCCCATGATTTAATCTCTCTCATACGCCTCTGCAGCATAAATTTCCTTGTAGTTGTAAATACGCATCGCGTTTCATTGCGGCTGAAGCTTTCCCACCTGTTTCAGCCCCTTTGGTTCAACCACATCACAAAAACTTCCTGGGAGGTGGGTTATCATGAGCTGGTGTTAGGGTTGCCAACTATGGGTCAGGAGACACCTGGAGAATTTGGGGGCAAATCCTGAGGAGGGCGGGGTTTGGAGTGCCATAGAGTCCACCTTCCAAAGCAGCCATTTCCTCCAGGGGAACTGATCCCTGTTGCCTGGGGATCAGTGGTAACCCCAGGAGATCTCCGGCCACTACCTGGAAGCTGGCAACCCTGTTTGGTTTACAGCAGGACAGTGGGGGTGGTGGTGGTCAGCAAATACAATCTTGCACCTGCATTCTTTGTGACCGTGACGGCAGTTCTAGCATGATCTTCAGTCACAAACAAGTTGTCCATAATGCAAATGGTGGCCCCCGATATACAGACGGTGGCCCCAAAGGCTTATACCCAAGCCAAATAACCCCTAAGCTCTGTCCCAGACTCACCCACCCTTCCTTGCTTCACTTACCTCTCCACGGACAGTCACCACAACTAGGAAGAAGGAAGAAAAGGACATGTCACAAAACACTCCCAAGTCTGAAAAGGCTACAGATCATCTTGAATGGTTTGTGCTTATCCACTGGGACATGGTTGGCAAAGTAAGTTTGCAATAAAGGGGGCAGTGAAAAGTAGGGTACATTTGTGTTGGCCATGGTAGCGAAATGGAACATTCTGTTCAAAAGCAGTATGGGGAGAGGGAGGGAACCATATTAAGGAAGAGATAGAAAAGAAGTACTTCTTCTTCTTTGGGTACTTCTTCACCCAAAGAGTGATTAAC